CATTTTTTGTGTATACAAATATGTAAAGAAATTATTGTACTAAAAGTGTATATTTGATAGAAATGTATTTGCTTTTTCAGAAAATGTAAAAAATTTACTTGTTTATAAAATCTAACATTTTATTTAAAAATACTTTTTTTGTATGTTAAAATATATATTCCGTAAATTGATGTTTGATTTCTTTGTTTATTATACAACAGATTTAATAATTTTACATTTTACGTAGTGCAAGAAACAAGCGAGAACAATAGAAGACAAACCTAATAAATTCGTAATGAGTACAATCGAAGCGGTATCGCGTGACCACATGTTATGTTCCTCGCACCAGAAGCAATTGTGTTCGCAATACCACTTCTCATAGGCACAAATCTATGACATATTCCCGAATGTTCCACAATTTGCCTACCCCATGATTGTAAATCACAGCAACAAGTCTCTAACCGGTTGTCTAATACGAATGCCATTATGTACTTAGTTCCAATTCTAATCTTTCATTGACCGATTATCGATGGAAAAAAATTAGCACTTTTTGCTTATAAGAAAATAAATTTTAGAAAATTTCAGAAAAAATTTTATTTGATATACATCAGTTCTGAAAAAAAGTAAAAAGTAAAGAGTACGATTTTGTAGGATATATAATTTTTCTCTTTCTGAGTGTACAATAAGTATACAAATCTCAAGAGTAAAATTAGCAATCAACTTATCATTCGATTAGCCGTTTTCTCTGATTTCCAGCTGCGCCGTACTTTTTCTAGCTTTTCACCCCGCATTGTGGCAATTACCGGCATGCCGACGAACGGTGGAGTCAGCTAAACAAAAGACCGTTAAAGCTATCCTCGATATCCGCATCCTCCGTTTCCGCCCGATCTCGTTTATTTCGTATCAACCTTTTCCATCAGCTTCATCAAGTGTTTCTTTTGTACCACCTTTCTTTTCTGATCGCTAGAATGAATCACGCAGCGCATTTACGATTGTCTTATCATATCATATCTTCCATAAGAATATTGTATATGTATATAGAAGATTGGAACAGTTTGAATTGGTTTAAATATCGTTCTATAATGCAAGTGAAAAATTTTACTAAGCAAATTTTGAACACTATAATCAATATTGTTAATTTTTACAGTTCAATCAACGGCGTATTTGATAATTATGAAATACTTTTCATAATAATTATAACAATTTTTTAAAATTTCTTTGCACGCGTACATGATAAATTTCTTGTCTAGATATCAAAAGAAGTGAAACGTAAATTTAACGGATTCGAATTAATCGATTTGATCGTAAAAACAAATTCGTTTAGGCATGAAACGAGAGGGAGAGTTTAGAATTGAGTATCAAGTGGACTCGAGGTACTCCAGGGTTAAATGGATCGACCCGTATATGAGGTCGTTGCCAAAGTTACGTGAGCGCACTCATAGTCAAAGCGGAGCTCGCTTATCTCTTTGGTTATTCAATTATGACAATTTGTTCCGAAGGAGGGTATATGTCCCGCACACCAGCACGCTTTGTACCGGCGCGACGGCAGAGGCCGTTCCGCGATAAATTGAGCTCTCAAGAAGGTCTGCGATTGCCGTATATATGTGAATCGGTGTGGAAAAGGTGAATGGGCTTGCAGCAGTTCTGGTAGCGCTGGGGAAGAAAGGACGGCGATGGGTCTCTCCTCTTTCTCCCTTCTCTCTTTTTTCCCTGCCCTATAATGTACGCACATACACACGCCTGGCCTCGATATGCAAAATCGCTGAATATGGCCGTAAAACGCAGGCGGCGTGTATGCCAATATGGCGAGTATGGGAGGCCGAATTCTATTCTTCTCTTTCTTTCTTCCTTACACAGCTGATAGAGAATGGAAATATTAACGTTAACATTTTCAGATGCCATAATAGTTTTAAATCTTTCAATTGACAGCTCCTATATATCGGTTAATAATTTAATAATTATTTTAACAATTATTTTTATGAATATTGATATCTGTATCCTATTTTTTATCATTTGACCATTCTTTTAATAACATTTTTCAACCATTCTTTCAATAACAATAACGATTGAAATATGAACAAAGTCTTATACATCAAACTAGTTTTATTACAAAGATTATTCAAAATTTAGACACATCTCAAGAAAACGATATATTTTTCGTTTATAAACGTCCAACCATTTTCGAACAATCGTTTCTTCGTGTCGACTGAAATGTCTCATTTCCTAAAAGGAACTCAATTTCCGCGCAGTTCCGAACAATCGAGAATAAGATGTGAATGAGATCATGATTTGAAAACGATTGAATTCAAATTAGACATCATGTTAAAGCAACGGAAGCTTATTTTTTTCTTATTGTACAAGAAGATTTTCTTTTGTTTTCTGAATATTCTTCTGAATATTCAGAATATTTCATTTATATACGCCAATGACAATTAGTAATTAAAAATTCCCTTTCTACAAACTAAATAATGTATAATATAACAAACTAATAAATAATGTTTGGCGAATTTTAGAGTATTATAAAGAAATTAATTTTTTTAATTGTTTCTCTGCGTAACTATATTTAATTTAAAGTAACATTTATATATTATGATGGCAATTAATGCAATCAATTTTCATCATAAATTTAATAATCAATGACGTATCTTAATCAATGTAGATAACGATTAATACTGTATTAGTATTTAAGAAGGAATTTACCTTTATCAAATTGAATGTATCAGATAGAAATCTTATGATTAATTTAAGAGTTAAGATTTAAACGAGGCGTAGTAAAAAATATTGATAATACGATTATTCTGTTGCACAACGATTTGACATTAGCTTTTAAGATAACGATATCATTTCAAAGCTTCTAAAATACGTATTCATGTACTATATATAAATATGAACCAAATAAGTAATTAATAAGTAATGTAATTTTTTTATAGAAGATATCAAAAAACATTTTATAAAAATTTTAAAGATTTTTTTAAAGATTTTTTAAAGATTTTTTATTTTATTTATATTTGATTATATTAGAAATATGCAATTAACTGCTAAGTGATGCACTTCTTGAACAAATAATAAAATAAAAATTATGCAATTATATTATAATTTGTGATATCTTTTGCATTTTTATAAATTATTTTATAATATAAACATAATAAAATTAAAACATTTATCAATTTTTTTCAATTTTCATCTTAGAGATAATATGAAAGCGACGACGATCAAATATAATTTCTTACTTTCGCATCTTTCCATCTTTTCCATTTTGAACTGATTTTGTGCCACTTTCTTAGTGTCAATTAAAAAAAAAAATATCAATATTGTTCCTCACATATCTTATTGGTCTTGCCGAAAGCTTCGAGTTTATGAGAAAATGACGGCAAAAGAGGAAAATTTTGTGTTCGTCTACGACAGAAACGAAAGTACAACGATGAAGAGAGAGCGAACGGACGAGATAGAAGCAGAGAGCTAGAGCTGGCCGTTGTGTGAAAGCGTCAGCACACACGTTTGTATGGTGGGTTGCCCGACAATAGGCATTGTGCACCCGCCATAACCAGGAACCGAACGCGACAGCACCACGCCAGCATTGTCCGAGTGTCAGCCAGCATCCTTCTCCTCTCTCGCTTTCTCTCATTCTCCCCGATTCCCTCACGCTCATCCTACATTTCGTTCATTTCGTTTTACTCTTCATAAATCCCTTCTTTTCTCATTTATTCGCTTACCGCGATCTTTGCCTTCTTAATATTTCGACTGGATATGATCTGTAACAGCTCAGATGCGACTCGATTAAACTGACGTTTCTCAATCATAATGTGAATTCGAATAGAAGCTTTATCATACACAATATCTACACGCGTATCTGATAAGAATATGAATCTTAAATGATGGTGGGAGTGATATAAGCGATAGAGCAATATAAACTGATAAAAAGGATTCGTTGATCCGGTATATAAAGGAGTCTTAGTTAACACGAGTGCGTAATTGAGTGTGTTTTGCGTAGAGTAAAGAGTGAAATAAAATAAATATATATTTTTTTAGCAAGATGAAAGGTAAACTTATTGCTTAGTTTAAAGTGTAATCAATATTAATATTAATATTAATATTTAATACTAAATAAATATTATTACGTAAATTATTTTAAAATATGTCAATGAAATAATAACGAGCATATAGTATAATTTTTGCATATATCGCAATTAATTTGATAAGTTTTGTAAAAAAATTGAAATTTTTTTCTAAAATGTATATGAAAAATTTTATTACTTTACATTATTAAATTTTTCAATTAATTATTACTTTCTATTAGATCTTAAAAATTTTAATCCAAACAAGATTACAATTTAATAATAATTATATAATTTAAATATAAAAAATTCTTTTATACTTGACTAGACATTTCCATTTCTATTTGAAAAATTTAAACGGAAAATTATGATTACATCAGAACAATTATTATATTTACTATTATATTTTCTAATTTGTTTATTTAATACATTTTAGCCATAGTTTCCATTACGCTTTTGGTGTGTCTGTTGGGTGTATTTTATGCCCAAGCACAGGAAATCCGATGCCCAAATAGAGGGCCAAGAGATGGAGAGGAAGCTATTCTCATCCCTCATCCTACTAATTGCAGACATTATTTCGTCTGTGATTATGGCCGAGCGATCGTAATGAAATGTCCTGATGACTTACATTTCAATCCTATCGATAAAGTCTGCGATTACCCATGGCAAGCCGGATGCACAGCTCATTAATCAGTTTATAATGACATAATGACGTACATAATCACATATCAGTATATGAATCACTATTGTATTGTATTACTAAACGGCTTTGTATACATTTTCTAATGAATAAATTATCTATAACTTAAAGTTATTTCATATATGTATTTGAGTTCATTTCCATTGAATCGATTAATCAGTGAACAATAAGTGATATCGATATCACTTAAAAATCGTTCGAAATAATGATAATAAGTTTCAATCAATTAATACATATACATTAAGCAATCTACAATTGTATATTTTAATACTACGTATTTTAATATATATTTATAAATATGAAAATATTAAAATATTACTAGTAATATTACTAGGTATATTTTAAAACTGGAAGTAAGTGTTCGGCATCGAAATAGCTCGTATCATATAATAGTCGCGATCTTGGCGTTACGCGAACACTTTGTTACATTTTAACATCAACAGTTTAATGGGCAGTTTGTATTGTCAAACTGGCACTACTATGCAAATGCGTTTTACGGAAAGTATAACGAGCGGCAGCGAATGAACTTAAAATAGTAATTGCGCGTATGAAGGAGAACAGGTCGGCCATAAGTTCACTACTTTATCACTCTTCCGGGCTTGTTGTATTTAGAAAAATTCTCTTCTGCACAATAGTTTAACTCGTTTAAGAGACAAGTATTTTAAATCAGATGAAAAGATTTTTAAATAATTTTTGCATGTTTTGAGAGACACAGCATGTATTTTATTTTATGCATATTCTTAAAACATAAAATATTTCTATTTCAATATATATGCAAACAATAAATTGTTTGCATTGAAAATAATCTAAATTTGTATCATAAATAGTATGTTTAAAATGTATTTATTAATATCTTTTTCTATTAAAATTGATGCATTGGTAATAGGAATATAGATTAAAGCAATTCCACAATTTTCGGGATACTTTAAATGCGTGTAAAGGAGGAGACTGACAAGCTGAGAGAGAAACAAGAGCAAGAAGGGTAAAGTAAAAGAGAGTACAAGGAGGGATCGCAGACGCTAGGAAAGACCTCATCGTAGAAACGGTGACACTTAAATTCCCTATTTCGTTTTGAGCTCAATGCCCCGATGGAGTTTGTCGCCTTCATCGTCTACGCCGCTACCGCTTTCCGTGCTAGATCGCGTCGCGCCGACGTCGCTCTTCGTTCGTCAGTTAATGTCGTATTCTCCTTGCAAAAAGGAGAACGGGAGAAAGAGGCGCGTGAAAGGAAAGGAACGAACGAAGCGTCGGACAGAGAACTGCGGGAGCGAACGCGGATCGAGACTTCTTATCGGTACGAGTCAGCTACCGGCTGCCAGCCAGCTCGCTTACGCGCATCTCGTATGTTCCTTTTCATCTCTCGTTCCCTCCCTCTTGCACCCTCGTCGCGCTCTCTCGCCCGCGGTACTTTTTTCTTCCGTCACTTCCGCACCGGCTTCTCGCTTTACTTCTGCCATTTCCCACCTTGACACTCGCCGAAATGTATCCGGTCGGTGGAAGCGTCGACGAGGGCGCCGTTAATGGATTCTATTCTGTATCAAATTGGAAACCGATTGGTTGCCGTCGTTGTCATAAGATGCGCCACGAGATAGCTGTGTACCGATGATCGATCCAAGAGTGTTTCATTATTTGTTAATTTTACCGAAGCGAAAGAGATCTCATAATTGGCGAGACACTATTCTCACGTTGACAAATATGTAACATCTATAAATATATTATTTTCTTTTAGTGTCATTTACTTAGATATATGAAACTGATATATGAAACTATTTTTTCAGAAATCCGAGAAATAAAATTATTATTATATGATACATAATTTTAAAAATTATTCTTTGTGTTTATTGTGTTTTAGGAAAAGTGCTTTAATAATAACTCATCATAATGTAATTCATATTGTCAAAATGATTGAAAAAACATTAATATACATTAATAAAAATCCTATTCATCTTTCTCACAAAATGCAGATACAGTATATTCATAATTACGAGTTCGTTTTAATACAAACTGCATTTAACCTTTACTCGTTTACGTCGTTCTTCTCCGTTGTTTGGAAAATAAAGAAAATTTGGGATATATAATCTACCGTTTAATTTATATACTTGCTTTATCAGGTGGTACGTTCCGTCAAGGCCTTATGCGCGGCAAGAGGCGAGGGTGAATTAATAGCCAGACATTTTTCTAAGTAAGAAAGATAGAGAATGCAATAGTGAGGAAGGATAATGAAAGAAAAAGAGAGAGAGAGACAGTGATTATAAGACATTCGGATGGCGTGCAAAGAACGCGGAAGTCTTCTTTGCATTAGACTGCACTGAACTTAGGCTTCGTCAGCAGATTATAGTCTTATTGCATGTCTCCTTGGGTTTGTACATTTATTATATGAGTTATACTAGTATAACTCATATTTTATTGAATATTATCGCATTTCAATTGCTGATATCAAACCATACATTATATTTTATGATAAAAAATTAATAAAAAAATTCTAAAAAAATCTTAATTCTTCGTTATTCATATTATCGATAGTTAATCATATTATCGATAGTAATAGTGATATAGTTTACTTTTTGGTAAGCAATGTTAAATACAATTTTATAGAAAGTAATCAACTGTGAATATTTTGCAATTTATATTAATCTCTTAAAAGTCTATTCACATTTTATTTATAGTGCATGCATATAGAATTTACGAAACATAGTAAAATTAAGAAGTGATATCATGAATGTAGATGCTTTTTGCGAAGTAACATATTTTGAAAAAGGATAGTAGTAAAAACAGTATGAGAATTCATCACATTTGTTCAACTAAAATGATACTTTAATAATATTGTTTTTATATTACACACACACACACACACACACACACACACACACACACACACACACACACACGCACACCACACACTATGTTTAGACTAGCTATATATTATATTTGACTTTTCGTTCAATTGATATAAATAAAAAATATGTATAAAACTGTTCTTTTTAAAATTTTCTAACAATATTGTCATAGTTTATGTGAATTTGAAACTAAAATAGTTTTTTGTAAGTTTTAAGATGTGTTCATAAATAAAATTTTTAAGCAATTTCCATACTCGTTTTTCTAAATTTCTTTAGCAAATATCTCTTTCTTTAAAGACGCAATTTTACGTAAATAACAAGAAATTCTATTCTATTTATATATAAGATAATTCTGAGTCTATACAATAAATATTTTTAATTCTGTTACAAGAAATAGAGATTCTGTTACAAGAATTATTTGCGACATCAAGAAAAAGAAAAAGAAAAAGAAAAAGAATATTGTTAAATATTTTTATTTACAAGCTTTCTAAAGTATATAGATAATTAAAATTATGACAATTAAGCGTGTTTTTTTTTTTAATAACGTTGCTAAAATCCTATGAGAAGCATAGACATCTTTTTGTTTGTCATATTACGGGATGGGAAAGTAGAGTAGAATCGGCTGAACGACTGGCAGTCGTCCTACGGTGTGTGTCCCCGAGGAAATCAAATTATCGATATATGTGGAGTCGATGTGCACACGTAACATATATATGACGAAGTGTAAGCTGAGAGCACAGGTGGCCGACTGATATTGGTTTTGCTTCCGGATTTGGCGGACACCCCTTACAGTAGTAGACACAAGCGAGACTCGGTACGAAGGGCAATTACCCCACTAAATATTCACAAGTTCATTACAAGCGGAGTTGGATGCATTCACCCTCTTCCTCGTCGCTTCTCACTCTCTCGTCCTTTACCTCTTGTCTTTACTTTCTCGTTTCTCTAACACAAGTATACATTTTCGAAATAAACGCAATGTTAGAATTATTTCTTTGTTCACGACAAAAATAATATTATATTCTTTATTTTGGAAATTAATATACAGAAATAAATTTTTGGCAAATATCAATTTTTATTTAGTGAAAAAATTAATACAAATTGTACATATTTATTTAAATTAGTAAAACCTATATATTGTATAACTAAAATTTCAAGTCTTTAATTCACAATTTTGATATCTTAATACGTTGCTTAATACGTCGCCGCACCAACGTATTCTATCGTTGTCGAGAATGATATTGAAAAATTGTATATAAAATTGACTTTTTTATTTCAATCAGATAGGGATTAACTTTATACGACTTTCGTGTATCAGGTTTTTATATGACACCCTTTATATGCAGGCATGGCTGAAAATCTAAAGCTAACGGCGGTTCTCAGCACGCTGCTTGGACACGCTGCGAGGTTTCCGACAAAAAGCTCATAAAAATTTAATAGATCGTTCGGCCCGAATGCAATGGCAAACTTTTTATGGCTTATAAATGTTTCGTTTGACCGAAAACAATTTTCTCGGTCCGAAGATCACGACGTAAACTCATAGCGGCGTTGGTCAGCTCAATACATCTTTCTAAAAACATTACCTTTTTAATCTAAAAAATTCGTAAGAACACTAAATTTAAAGTTATCTTGCCGTTACTAATGTAAAACATAAATTAATGTACCAGTTTATAAATTATCATTATTATTATAAAATGCTAAAAACAAATGTCAAATAATTTTAGTTATCGACATTTAAATAAAGGTAAGCAAAATTGTCATTTTATTTTTTCTAATTTCTTTGCTTATTGAATGCTATAATTAATATTGTTAGATAAAAATCAATAATGATGTCTGTGGGATTGATTTCTGCCATTTCGTATTTTACTCGGAATTTTCGAGGAGATCGCACGTCAGCTATTCTGTGGGGACTCCGATTAAAATTCGATCGGTTATCGTCGGTACGTCGTGTGATATTCCGATTTATGTACGGTGCTGATAACAATCCAGCGGATTATTGAAATTGACATATCGATTGATCAACAGATACGATATCAGAAATGATGTGTTCTTCTAAGGCAACGTAGTATCAAAAATGCA